GTGTTTTGACAGATTTCTTTTGGGGTGCGGGGGCCGGGGGTGCAATACCAGGCTCCAAAAATTTTTTTTTCACGAAGAAAACAAAGGGGGAAAAAAACCAAAACAACTATTCCAGTTTTTGCAGCTTGGCTTTGCGTTGAGACTCTCCTTCAGTCCTTAGCCAGGTCGCTTACAAATCTGCCTTAACTTTCACTTTCTACTTGCCCTAAGCCAATAGATCAGCCAGAAGTTAAAGTTGTGGGCCTTTTCTGTCTTTTGTGTCCTGCCCTGGGTATATACTAGTACATGGCTTTCTGAATTTCTCAATATATACAGATAATTTTGAATAGCCAAATTTCCCAAAGAATCTCTTCGCTTTAATCCTTCAATTTTCTCCCAGGCTTTCTTTTGTATCTTGTTTTTGTTTTTTGGCTAATCCTGACCCAAGGATATATTTTCCAATGATTTTTAGAGAGAATGGAAGGGAGAGAGAGAGAGAGAAAGAAACATCAATGATGAGAGAGAATCATTGATTGGCTGCCTCCTGTATGCCCCTACTGGGGATCAAGTCCACAACCCAGGCATGTGCCCTTGACCGGAATTGAACCCAGGACTCTTCAGTCCCCAGGCTGACGCTCTATCCAGTAAGCCTAACCAACTAGGGCTTGCCTTTTTTCCTTATATTTGGCCACTTTAATGCATTATCCTTTGTCCATTTTTATTAGAATGTTAATCTTTTATGTTGATATAAAATATAAGGAGAATTATGTTACACTAGAGGCCCGGTGCATGACATTTGTGTGCAGGGGAACTGGGGGGTGTCCCTCAGCTCAGCCTGTGCCCTCTCGCAGTCCAGACCCTCAGGGGCCTAAGCTGGCAGTCAGACATTCCTCTTGCAATCTGAGACCCCTTGCTCCTTACTGCCCACCTGCTCACTGCTCCTTACCGCTCAGTTCTCTGTTCCTTAGTGCTGCTGTGGAGTCGGGAGAGGCTCCCGCCACTGCTACTGTGCTTGGCAGCTTTCTGGCTGAGTGGCGCTCCCCCTGTGGGAGTGTACTGACCACCAGGAGGCAGTTCCTGTGTTGAGCGTCTGAACCTGGTGGTCAGTGCACGTCATAGCGACCGGTCATTCTGCTGTTTGGTCAATATGCATATTAGCCTTTTATTATATAGGATAGTTTTCTCAAAAGTTGTCATTTGTCTTTAAATTTTACATATTTTTGGCTCCATTACAGAAATATAAAATTTTAATGAGATGAGCTTATAAAATGCTAACTTTGAGGTTTCTAGCTCTTGTCATATCTTGAAAGATTTTTGTCATGCCAAGATTAAAAATTGCTTTTGGGGTTATTAGGCAGAAATCATTTGCATCCCTAATGTACAAAATTTTGCACGTTTTCATGTAACTTAAGTGTCTGGGCTCATGAATAATAAGTAGCTTACAATGAAAATTTATGCAGCCACAGTACTCATGTTCAAAACAAAATATGTAGATGTCCAAACTAGTTTTTGCCAACAGTAATCCTATCTAATAAAATAGTAATATGCAAATTAACCATCACTCCATCAGAAAGATGGCGGCGGCCATGGAACTGGAGTGAGCAGGAGGCTTGAGTTGCCCCGGCAATGGAGGAAGCCAAGCTTCCTGCCTGCCCGGCCCTGAGCTCCGCCCAAGGCTACAAAGTTTCAGTTATAGAAGATAAATAAATCCCAGATATCTGCTTCCAGCCACCGTGGTTTCCACTCAAGGAGGGGCTTCAAGCTGGACCAAGACAACAAAGTTTCAATTATAGAAGTTAAATAAATCCCAGATACCTGCTTCCAGCCCACAGCCGTGGCCAGCCTCAAAACGGCCATCGGCCCCTCACCCAGGCTGGCCAGGCACCACAGTAGGGCCCCCCACCCTGAAGGGGCTGTGGCCAGCCTGAAAATGGCCCTTAGCCCCTCACCCAGGCTGGCCACACTCTCATGGGGTGAGGGTCCCCACTGGGGAGCTTGACCAGCCTGCAAACAGCGATCAGCCCCTCACCCAGGCTGGCCAGGCACCCCAGTAGGGACCCCAACCCTGAAGGGGCTGTGGCCAGCCTGCAAACAGCCATCAGCCCCTCACCCAGGCTGGCCAGACACCCCAGTACAGAACCCCCACCCTGAAGGGGCTGTGGCCAGCCTGCAAACAGCCATCAGCCCCTCACCCAGGCTGGCCAGGCACCCCAGTAGGGCCCCCCACCCTGAAGGGGTTGTGGCCAGTCTGAAAACAGCCCTCAGCCCCCTCGCCCAGGCTGGCCACACTCCCATGGGGTGAGGGTCCCCACTGGGGGGCTTGACCAGCATGCAAACAGCCATCAGCCCCTCAGCCAGGCTGGCCAGGCACCCCAGAGGGGACCTCCACCCCAGCCCCTCACCCAGGCTGGCCAGGCACCCCAGTAGGGACCCCAACCCTGAAGGGCTGTGGCCAGCTGCAAACAAGCCATCAGCCCCTCACCCAGGCTGGCCAGACACCCCAGTACAGAACCCCCACCCTGAAGGGGCTGTGGCCAGCCTGCAAACAGCCATCAGCCCCTCACCCAGGCTGGCCAGGCACCCCAGTAGGGCCCCCCACCCTGAAGGGGTTGTGGCCAGTCTGAAAACAGCCCTCAGCCCCCTCGCCCAGGCTGGCCACACTCCCATGGGGTGAGGGTCCCCACTGGGGGGCTTGACCAGCATGCAAACAGCCATCAGCCCCTCAGCCAGGCTGGCCAGGCACCCCAGAGGGGACCTCCACCCTGAAGGGGCTGTGGCCAGCCTGAAAACGGCCCTCAGCCCCTCACCCAGGCTGGCCAGGCACCCCAGTACAGAACCCCCACCCTGAAGGGGCTGTGGCCAGCCTGAAAACGGCCCTCAGCCCCTCACCCAGGCTGGCCAGGCACACCAGCAGGACCCCCCACCCTGAAGGGGCTGTGGCCAGCCTACAAACAGCCATCAGCCCCTCACCCAGGCTGGCCAGGCACCCCAGCAGGACCCCCCCACCCCCAACACCCTGAAGGGGCTGTGGCCAGCCTGAAAACAGCCCTCAGCCCCTCACCCAGGATGGCCACACTCCCATGGGGTGAGGGTTCTCACTGGGGGCTTGACCAGCATGCAAACAGCCATCAGCCCCTCACCCAGGCTGGCCAGGCACCCCAGTGGGGACCTCCACCCTGAAGTGGCTGTGACCAGCTTGCAAACAGCCATCAGCCCCTCACCCAGGCTGGCCAGGCACCCCAGTGGGGACCCCCATCCTGAAGGGGGTGTGGTCAACCTGAAAATGGCCCTCAGCCCCTCACCCAGGCTGGCCAGGCACCCCAGCGGGACCCTCAGGGCAAACCAGCTGGCCCCGACCCGTGCACCAGTTCTCTATCCTATATAATAAAAGGGTAATATGCAAATTGACCCTAACAGCATAATGACTGGTCACTATGACACACACTGAAAATGGCCCTCAGCCCCTCACCCATGCTGGCCAGGCACACCAGCAGGACCCCCCACCCCGAAGGGGCTGTGGCCAGCCTGAAAACAGCCCTCAGCCCCTCACCCAGGCTGGCCACACTCCCATGGGGTGAGGGGGAAGACACTTAATGCAGGAGATGCCCCTGGTGGTCAGTGCACTCCCACAGGGGGAAGCTCTGCTCAGCCGCAAGCCAGGCTGCCAGCTGCCAGCACGGTGGTGGCGGAAGCCTCTCCTGCCTCCTCAGCAGTGCTAAGGATGTCCGGCTGCAGCTTAGGCCTGCTCCCCACTGGCAAGTGGACATCCCTTGAGGGCTCCTGGGCTGCCAGAGGGATGTCTGACTGCCAGCTTAGGCCCAACCCCCCGGGGAGCGGGCCTAAGCCAGCAGGTGGACATCCCCCCGAGGGGTCCCAGACTGCGAGAGGGCACAGGCCGGGCTGAGGGACCCCCGCCCCACCCCCCCACCGCCAGCCACCTCCCAAGTGCACAAATTTTTGTGCACCGGGCCTCTAGTAGAATATAATACAGCCACTGGTATGCTTCTCTAGGCACTCCTTTCAACAGCAGTTAGTCTTAGGATCCATGGTCTGCTCTGCCACCGATGTGCGCACGCTCTCTCTATCTCTGTTTCTGTCTCTTGTCTTCTCATCCTTGACACATTGTGTAGATAATGGTCTCTAATTTCACAGAAGTTACTAAAAATGATGTTAGCTATTTAAATGATAGGGTGATACATACTATATTGACAATGTTTAATTTGATTAAAATGACTAATAGAAATAATGATAAATTTAGCTTTATGATGAAGAATGGGTAAAATAAATATAATTTGGCTCATATTTGCTTTTGTATCTCAATATATAGCAGTAGGGCCTTATTCATGGAAACAAACTTAGTCTTTTTCCCCCCATTTGCCACTACTTGCTACTAAGCTGACCCTGCAATTCTTTATTTTTTACATTTATCCAGTTTTCTTCCTATTTCTCCCTTTGGCTGTTCTCAGCTTCAGTGTTGTAAGTGCTTGTGAGTACTTAGGAGGAAAACTAGGAGAGTTGCTTTGTATTCCCTTTAGGGAGGAAGGGAATTGAGGTTTTCTTTTCTTTTTTTTTCTTTTTCTTGCTGTTGGTTGTTTTTAATGTTGGCTTTCTACTACTTTTTGTTGTGGTTGTTGTTAATCCTCACCCGAGGTTATTTTTCCATTGAGTTTTAGGGAGAATGGAAGAGAGAGGGAAAGACATAGGGAAACACTGATGTGAGAGAAACACATTGAGTGGTTGCCTCCTGCATGAGCCCTGACCAGGGCCAGGGACAGGAAGGAACTTGCAATCAAGGTACGTTGCACTTGACCAGAATCAAACCCCGGACCCTTTGGTCTGCAGGCCAGTGTTCTATCCACTGTACCAAACTGGCTAGAGCCATGACTCTTAATCTGACCCCAGACATGGGTTCCTGTAAGGATTATGCTGGCATTTGGGCCACCTGCCCAGCTGTTGCTTCCCTTTCCCTGCTCCTTAATCATGTGACTAATTACTGACTGTGACTTCCTTTTGTGTTCCAGCCGGAAAGAATAGACCCAAGTGCATCACGACAAGGCTATGATGTCCGCTCTGATGTCTGGAGTTTGGGGATCACGTTGGTATGTTGATGTCCACCCAGCCTTGTCCTAGTAGTGTACCGAGAAATTTAGAAGTGAAAGTAAATTTCATCAGTTTTCCACCCCTCATAAGAACTGCTTCTTGTCTCTTCTAGTCTTTGATTTTATTTACCTATTTTTTTCCCTCATGGCTATGATCACAGGGACTGTGTCTTCTAGTTGTTGAATAAATATATGTTTTATACTTTAAAAATCAAACCGTAATTGATTATTTCTCTCAAGGTTCTCTGAGGTGCCTAGGGCTCTGTAACATTGCAGCTGTGGATGTCTTGGTCACACACACAGGAGTCTCATGCACTGAGAATGGAACGGGGTGGGGCAGCTCCTGTGCAGTCAGAGTCCTGGGAAGGCACAGGCTCCTCCACTCAGCCTGAGTAGTTTGTCCAGTAACACTGTGCAGGTTGTGTATTAGAGGAATATGTTCATGTCACTGGAGTCTTCCAGTCACGGAATAGAAAAGTCACAGAGAAACTGAAAGTAATTCAGTTGTTGAGAAACAAGAACTGCTTAGGTGACAGTTGTAGAGTTCTACCTTAGAACAACACAGAAAGAAGTAAGAAAGCTGCTTACTTTGCAACTAAGCATAATTAAATAAACTCTTCTTTCTTGGCTGTGTTGAAATTCTGGTTCTATTTAAAAAGCATTTTTATTTGCTTATTTCTTTAATTAGAGGCCTGGTGCACGAATTTGTGCACATTGAAAGAAAATTAGAAGAAATATTTTAGAGGCCGGGGAGGGACCGTGGGAGGTTGGCTCCAGGGCGTATCTGGCCCATCTTGTCCAGTCCCAATCGGCTGAACCCCAGCAGCAAGCTAACCTACTGGTCGGAGCGTCTGCCCCCGGTGGTCAGTACACGTCATAGCGACTGGCCGAGCAGTTGACTGAAGGGTCGACCAGTCGGTCGGACACTTAGCATATTAGGCTTTTATATATAAAGATACCAAATTTTGTTTTGAAGTTTTAGGTTCATTTTCTTGTGTTTGCTGTTTTACCAGGCTTGATGGCATTTTTCTGATTTTTGACAGCTTTGCCTACATGGGTGTGAATCTTCCGCCACTAAATGGGGCTGTGTTAGTTATCTTGTTAGTTAGTTATCTTTGTAGTTATCCTTTAGTTATTCTTGCAGTTGTCCTTGTTATTTATCCTTTAGCTGTCCTTGTTGTTATCCTTGTAATTTCCTTGTAGTTGTCCCTGTTAGTTACCCTTTAGTTATCCATGTAGTTATTCTTGGTGAGTCATGTTGCCAGCCTGTTGAAGTCTTTGAGTAGAGAGTTGAGGCTAACAACTCACCTCTGCCAAAGACTCCTTCTAGTTCCTCTTGTGACCAGATCTGGGAGGCACCTTCTGAGTCTTTTTCCATTGTGAAGCCAACTGAGCAGAGAAGGAATCTTTTTTTCAGTCAGGAGAGAGCATGAAACTTGGGTATTTTTTAGGTCTGGTGGCTGATGCCAAAGACTGCAGCAAGACTCTAGCCTTTAGCTGAGGCTACTGCTCGCATAGAAGGGATACTAACGGTTCAGAAATACCTATCTGTGTCCAAACCAGTTATGTTAAAAAGCAAGTATTTACTTCATTATACTAGTAAAAACAAATTTTTGTTCTGTGAAAGGTTCTAACATAGAAAAATTTTTTTAGCAAGTTTCTTTAGTACTATGCCTTTGTTTAAAATAAAGCAAGGTATTTGGTACTTATAATTGCTTCATAATTTGTTTTTTTTTATATGGATAATCTCATAAAATTATGAAATGTGTGAAATTAATTTCTAGGGTCCTAGATCCTTCACCTTATACCTTCTCTTAAGCATCATTATTGGGCTTCAGGGTGAAGGCTTTGACCCTGACTTTTTCTTCAGCAATGGTAACATCTGGTTGTGGTTGGAATTATAGTAACTGCAGAATGGCAATCAAACTTTGTTTCCTGGGAGCTCATTGGATATTTTGTATGTTGAATGTTATTTTACCTTAAAAATGAATTTGGCAACAGTTCTGGACATGGCTTTCCACTCAGGTGACTATAAATAGTGAAGACATTGTACTAAAATAGTTCTAAAGCCAGCCTTGCAGAATCCTGTATACAAGGGAGTCAGACTTGAAGCATGCACTATGGGACTTGGGGCTTAAGTTCAGTGTTTCCTTGTAGTCCAAGTTCTTGGATTTGGTTGATACAGAATTCTTTATATTATCTTGATTCTAATATCACTTCCACTTAGCCTTAATACTTCTGAAGATTCCACCTTAACCTGATATGGACTTAATGCCAAGCTTTTAGAAGAGTTTTGCTTAGAGTTTAGATTTTCAACATGGCCATTTCAGTGAGGGGAAGTAAGCATTGCCTTAGTGTATTTTGCTTTTTCCTCTGGGTTCTTTCAGTACGAGTTGGCCACAGGCCGATTTCCTTATCCAAAGTGGAATAGTGTATTTGATCAACTAACGCAAGTCGTGAAAGGAGACCCCCCGCAGCTGAGTAATTCGGAGGAAAGGGAATTCTCCCCGAGTTTCATCAACTTTGTCAACTTGTGGTGAGTACTTGAATTACGAATGTTCAAAAACACACAGTGAGAACAGTGAGGTTGATTTAACCTTAGCAACACTGGGGCAGGGGAGCCTTCTGTCCCTCTGTCTCCTGAGCTGGGACTCTGGATCATTGCAGCTACATGGGAGGTTCCAGGCAGCCTGGAGGGCCCTGCTCTCTTGTTCTACTGCTCAGGCACTGATGAAAACAGCTGGGGGTGGTGGAGAAGCGCTGCCTCCCGGTTTCTAGTTCTCTGTACAAGAAATACAGCCCAGGTGAGACTGGCCATCTCATTCAGATGTGGTTTTCATCGTGAAATTGTACCAAATCACTTGGAAGCTTTTACCAAGTGAAGATCCTACCAGGCCATACTTTCAGGGGTTGATCTCTGCTCTGACATAACATAAAACATGGTTAGGTGTGTGGAGTCAAGTTAGTTCAATTGGTAGAACCCTAGATTAGCTCTCTGAAACCTACTCCAAGGAAGGTGAACTCCACACCTCATGTCTGTCCACCTTTTAAAGGTGCACATTTGCGTGTGTACGTGTGCGTGCCTGTGTGAGCAGCTCCTGAGAATAAACTCATGCAGAGGTGGTGATATATAATCTTGCTTCATGCTGTTTCAATCTGTATTTTAAATACAACAGGTTTTGTTATTATTTGACTATTTTTAATAATTATTGTTTATCCAACATAGTTTAAAAATTTATCTTTACAAGCAAAAAGCCAGAGTGTTTAGTATATCTTCTTTACTATACATTCCTGAAACTGCTTTGCTTTTCTCTTCTTCATAGATTGCCTAATTTTTCCTGTTTTCTGAGATTGGCAGGTTGTCTGCTATGTCACCTTTGCATCTGAAGGAAAAAATTACTCGATTCTGTGTAATATTTCTTTTGTGAAAAAAAATCCTTGCGGTAAATGTGTCTTCATATTAATAATGTTTGCTTTGTTTTGTTATTTTAGCCTTACAAAGGACGAATCCAAAAGGCCAAAGTATAAAGAACTTCTGGTGAGTATGAGACCTTGGCAATGTCAGCTGTCTCCTCAGCCTTGGTCTGCTCAGCGTGCTGGCTCACTGAGCAGGCAGTAGCCTCTCATAGACAGACAGACAGACCGACCCACCTCACTGAGCAGGCAGTGGCCCCTCATAGACAGACAGACAGACAGACAGACAGACCGACCCACCTCACTGAGCAGGCAGTGGCCTCTCATAGACAGACAGACAGACAGACCGACCCACCTCACTGAGCAGGCAGTGGCCCCTCATAGACAGACAGACAGCTCCACCTCACTGAGCAGGCAGTAGCCTCTCATAGACAGACAGACAGACCGACCCACCTCACTGAGCAGGCAGTGGCCTCTCATAGACAGACAGACAGACAGACAGACCGACCCACCTCACTGAGCAGGCAGTGGCCCCTCATAGACAGACAGACAGACAGCTCCACCTCACTGAGCAGGCGGTAGCCTCTCATAGACAGACAGACAGCTCCACCTCACTGAGCAGGTGGTGGCCTCTCAAAGACAGACAAACACACAGGCAGACAGCTCCACCTCACTGAGCAGGTGGTGGCCTCTCACAGACAGACAGACAGACAGACAGCTTCACCTCACTGAGCAGGCAGTGGCCTCTCATAGACAAACACACAGACAGACAGCTCCACCTCACTGAGCAGGTGGTGGCCTCTCAAAGACAGACAGCTTCACCTCACTGGGCTTTTGTAAAAGGTTCTGAAACAAAAGTGTTTGGAAAGAGAAAATTTGAAGTTATAACTTCCCTACTGATTTACTCGGTATGTTCTCATGGAAAGTTTTGACCTTGACATGTCATAAATATTAACCTGGAAAATTTATTAAAAAATATGTTTTTATTGATTTTTTAGAGAGAGAGGAAGGACGAGGGATAGAGAGATAGAAACATTGATGAGAGAGAAACATCATCGATAGGCTGCCTCCTGCACACCCCCTACTGGTGATCGATCCCGCAACCCGGGCATGTGCTCTGACCGGGAATTGAACTGGTGACCTCTTGGTTCATAGGTTGATGCTCAACCACTGGGTAACACTGGCTAGGCTCCCTGGAGAATTTTAAGATTCACTTTAAGGAGTCATTTTTATTTTACCATGTGGTTTATGTATGTTTAACACATCCGTAAGAGTTTATTGTGCTTTCTCTGCCTTTATAAAATGTTCTCATGCAAATAAATCTAGACTCATATAGCCAATTCCCATTTCTTTTAAAACTTCTCACCCACCCCATGGAACCTGGGCCTTTTAAGTAGTCTCCTGGATGTGTCTTTGGTCTTAGTGGTGAACAAAGTACTGTGATCTGATAATGTGGGAATATTTTAAGAAAAAGATCACCTATTTGTCACACTTAGCTTCTATCTCTCAGACTTATGGTCAGACTTATGGTCAACCCCAGGTGTGACTAAAGATAACCAGTCTGGCCTGGCTGGTGTGGGTCAGCGGTTAACATCGACCTATGAACCAGGAGGTCACTGATTCAATTCCCGATCAGGGCACATGCTCAGGTTGCGGGCTCGATCCCCCGTTGGGGGCGTGCAGGAGGCAGCCAATCCATGATTCTCTCTCATCATTGATGTTTCTATCTCTCTCTCCCCCTCTCTCTTCTTCTCTGAATTCAACAAAAATATATGTTAAAAAAAACAGCTATCTAGTCATTGTGCTTAGAGAAACTGTTAAAGAAAAATACTGCTGGAGATGGAGTATGAAACGGTGGGTTGTGAGGCAGATAGGGGCTCCAGGCTTTGGAGAATGTGGTGCAGGAGTTCATAGGGAAGTTTCTATTGAGTTTCCTTGGGAGTGGGGGTGAGAAGGTTTGAAACAGTTCTTTTTGTTCAGGATTCACTTTGCGCCTGGGGGAACAGGCAGTTGAGTTGGTGTCTGTCCTAAGACTAGCACCTGGTGGTCATGTAGTTCTTGGTTCTCAGATGTTCTGTGCAGAGGAACAGCAGTGCTGTCTGCCTTAGCAAATGCTCCCTGGTCCACAGATTAGTATCCAGACCTCACCTCCAGGCGGCTCCATATCCCAGCCTGAGCATCACGCTTGGCAGACCACACCCACTGACACGCCCCCTGGGAATGCAGGCTGTGCTCGCAGCGCTGAGCCGGTGCTGGAGTTTCATGGCCCTGCGTGGTTGAGCTCTGGTTCTGTTCTGTACCAAAATTGGGAAAAGCCCAGCATGGACTCTGACATAAATTTTGATTTGTTTTTTTCTTCCATTTTCTTGCAGAAACATCCCTTTATTTTAATGTATGAAGAACGTACTGTAGAGGTTGCAAGCTATGTTTGTAAAATCCTGGATCAAATGCCAGCAACTCCCAGCTCTCCCATGTATGTCGATTGATGCCGCTGCTACGTCAGACTCTAGAAAAAAGGGCTGAGAGGAAGCAAGACGTAAAGAATTTTCACCCGTATCACAGTGTTTTTATTGCTCGCCCAGACACCATGTGCAATAAGATTGGTGTTTGTTTCCATCATGTCTGTATACTCCCGTCACCTAGGACGTGCATCCCCGAAGTATCCGACTGATCACAGTGTTCGTGCTGGTCAGAGACCTCATCCTGCTCTTTCCTGATGACATACTCATGAAACATGGAAGTCAGTACGATCAATTTGTTGACTGTGATTAGATCACATCTTTAATTCATTTCTAGACTCAAAACCCGGAGACGCAGCTACTGGAGTGGTATTCGTCAGACTTCCGGTCCTGGAAAAACGCAGTGATGGATGTACTGTGTCTGAACGTAGGGACTCGGCACGAGTGAGAAGAGCTTGCACAGCCAGCGAGACGCATTGCCTTCTGGAGCCGGGAGACAGGAGGGTTTCTGTTCTTCACCAAGTGCAATAGACTTACTGATCTGAGGTCCTGTTGCTTTATGGTCACAGTCGATGTTCGGGGATCGATGTGCTCGGCCAAATTCCCGTTTGAAATATCATTTTAAATTAGAATGAATTTATCTTTACCAAAAACCATGTTGTGTTCAGTAAAATATCGAGACAGGACAGAATGTGCTCTTTTCTCCTTGACCAGTCCTTCTGCTCTTCACTGGTAGACTCGGGAGTCTGCCCCTTGTCAAAGAAGGTGCTGATCCTAAGAATTGTCACTCAGCATGTGGTGTGCTGCCAACCCGAGGTTCCACCTGCCACCAACCACCGGGACTGAACGAAGAAAAATTACGGAGGGCAACGTTTACAGACGTTTTCATGCGAGCATCTTCTCTGGGACAGCTCCTAGCAGCTCTCTTCCCCCTTTGTCCCGAGCCTGATACTTTAGCCATCGTAACTCACTACCAGGGAGGAGTAGCGAGGAGCAATGTGCCTTGATTGATTAGATAGATAGAGATTTCTCGTAGGCAGCAAAAGACCAAATCGCAGCTGTTTGCCGTCACTGGTCCAGGTCTTCGGTTTCTGAACCTCTTCCCCTCCCCTGTAGTCTCTTGCCACTGTGTGTCTTTTGCTTAATCCAGTACTTTGCCTCCCCCCACCCCCTCTATTAAAAACCTTTATAATACCAGGGATGTTCCTTACCAAGGATTTCTAGCCCCAAATCTCTCAGATGCGCCAGTGTTTAAAAGGCTGAACATCATGGGGCTCAGTAACGTGGTAGGTGATGAGGCAGCATCTTTCTAGAAACACGAGTGACCCAGGGAGGACCTGAAACGGCAGTCCGAGGTGAGCTCAGCACCTGCGAGACTAACAGGTCATCATTTCTTGGAATTGGAATTCTACAGAATCAACCCCACAACCCAAACAACCCCCGAATAGTGATAAGCCCACTTAAGCCTGCTCTCTTTGCTGTGCTCCCCTACTCCCCCACCAGCCAGGTTCCCCTTGGGTTTGCTCTGGCCTCCCTGGCACTGACCATTCGGCTCTGAGCAGCACTGTGAGTGGTCCCAGCACGCAGGAATATAAAACAGCTGTGGTCCCAGACCAGGTGAGGCCGTTCCAGAACCCCCCGGGCAGGTACTGCTGTGTCTCCTCCCAGAGTGACAGTCATCAACACTATACAACAATAAAGGGAGAATGGTGCTGTTTTAAAGTCACTTCCCTGTCAATTTCAGAATTCAAAAATGATTTATCGCTTTGGTCCATTTGCCTAATTTTCCCATTTTCTCCCCTATGGCATCATAAACCTTAGACTTCCCAGTGTTCTCAAAGGAAGCGTTGTTATGTGTCTTCCTTCAACCGCACCAAGCCATCATTCTCCGTATCTCCCGGGGACTCAACTTCCTGTCTGCTGTCAACTTCCCGTCGGGCTCGCGCAGGGTCACTTTGCCATTCTACAGTGGAGATCAAAGCAGTTCTGACTGTCCAGGAGCTAAGCTGATCTGACTGTTCTGTTGTGTGGATGACCACATCAAAGCAATTTTAGTGTATTAATCATAGATTATTATAAACTATAAACTTAAGGGCAAGGAGTTTATTACATTGTATCTTTATTAAAACAAAAGGGTGTATAGTGTTCACAGACTGTGAAAATAGTGTAAGAACTGTACATTGTGAGCTCTGGTTATTTTTCTCTTGTATCATAGAAAAATGTATAAAAATTATCAAAAAGCTAATGTGCAGGGATATTGCCTTATTTGTCTGTAAAAATGGAGCTCAGTAACATAACTGCTTCTTGGAGCTTTGGAATATTTTATCCTGTATTCTTGTTTGAAATCCTCCTCTATTTAAGATATATACATGGAATCGAAGTGTTTATGTAATAGTTCTATCCTTTTGCCTGCAGGTCAGTTGTAATAAATTTAGGATGTGATGATGACTTTGTAATTTGATTTTCTGAAGTCAGACCCTGAGAGGGGAAGATTAAGTAAATTCCATTAAATTATCTGTGAGTTTCACCTTGGGAGAGAGTCTCTTCTGGACGTGTTTATGGCTTTTCTTTCTCTGCTCTCCTGTGGTTGCTGTATGGCTTTGCCTTCTCTTTGAGCAGGTGGGAGGCTGGGTCCCTGAGTTGTGTTCTCTGCTGGTTCCCCTGTCCTGCCCAGTGTTCTTACTGCTGGAGGGAGAGGGCGCAGTTCCCCCTGGGATGGGGTGGAGTCTAGTCTGCTGGGCTGGGGGCTTGGTCACCAGCCACACGCTCTGCTCCTGGTTCTGTGGCTGCTGGTGAGTCTCCACGTCAGCGCAGTCACTCACGGCTGCCTGGGCTAAAGGAGGGGGAGGGAGGGGATTTTTGCCTCTCAGACCTGAGAGGTTTATGAATGGGAGGACTTGTATGTGAGCAAAAGCCTTGGGACCCTGGGAACTATTGGAGAGGACACTGAAGTCTGGGCACTGGATGTGTCAGTGATACTCCCACCTCTCGGTCAGTGAGCAGATCCTCACTCCTGACCATATGTTAGCTCGGCACCTTACCATTCTGTGCCCGCGTCTGATCCGACCTGAGGTGCAGGAGGGACCACTATAACACCAGGTGTGGTAAGAAGCAGGCATCCTCCAGGGAAGGGTGTGGCTATAGGAATCCTGGCCTCTCCCCTTGAGCCTTAGCTGCCTCCATGGACCTCCAGGTCCCCGCTGAGCACCAACCTGGTGCCATGAGAGCCAGGCAGGCTGCACTCCATGCGGTCTGGACAGTGCAGTATTTGTTCATTAGGTTTGATTCTGACTGTAGCCTTCAAAGTCAGGTTGTGGTGTCCCGTTGGGCAGATGAAGAAAACACACAGGGAACCGCAAAGCAAGGCTTAGGGAAGTGAAGTGCTGACACTGACAGCTGTGGGGAGGAGAGCGAGATGCAAATCCAGGCTGTGACACTGGTTTCTCGTGGAATTAGAGATGAGAAATTACACTGATTTAAAATACCTGACAGCAGAGAAGTGTGGAGTTGAGAAGAGTGAACTGTAGTTGGGAACCTGAGTTTGTAGCCCTAACCAAGGCCTGGTTAGTTATCTTGGAGATGAGTTTAAGCACGAGATCCCAGAGGCTCAGTGGCCAACATAAAGGGTAGGAGATGGTTACCTTAGAACCAACCAGAGTAGCTCTTGCTCCTAATTCTTAAGTGGGACACCTGAGCATCAGTGCAGAGGCCGCTGTGTCCTGTCAACATGATGGCGTTATGTTTCAATCACTGAGAAGGCGGTTAGGCGGGAAAGAAATTTGAGGTGGCTCTAGTTAGTATTCAAGTGCCCTCTGCTCATTCGTTTCTCACACCTGCCTCAGCTGCAGGAGGATCAGGTGCCCTGGGTCCTGGCTGTCCTCCTCCCAGGCCCGAGGTGGGTCTCTGTCCCGGGCCCTGGCTGCCCTGCCTCAGGTCCAAGGTGGGCCCATGTCCCGCTCTGGCCCGGCTGTGCATCAGTCACATCGCGGCACCTGTGCTTAGTACTCGGAATGTGAAGATAGACCTAAAAACTGTTGATTTTGAACTTGGTGGTTTCCTTAAATACCTCACTAAGTGGTTTGAGGGGAGACCCCGATGAGTGACTCTCCGAGTACACCGTGGGAACCACGTGGAGTGGACAGTTGGTATTGGACCACCTGGTGTGAGGATCACCTTTGGTACTCGAAGCATCAGCTTCCATATACCTTCTGGGAGTTTGCTATAGACAGAAGCAATGTATTTCCTGGTCTTCCCCACCTTTCAGAGAAATGAACATCCAGGAATTCTCATCTCAAACCTCGGAATCAAGGGTTAGTAGTTCAATATCCACGGTAACATTTTTTGTTGTTTTCCTGATGATATGCCAAAGTATATTTATACTTAAGTGTAAAATGTGATTCTGCTGTTTAAAATTGTCCATCCCTACAGCATAGTGTAAAGTCACAACTGAGTAATCATAATGTATAATGAATCAAATTTTTATCTGCATTTGAAGTTTCCATCTACATCTATGTTTTACTGAAGAACTGCGAAATAGAACTACCTTTTTATAACACTTGTGAACCCAACTTTGTGAGGCTGGCAGGCTATTGTTGCCTCAGTCCTACACAAGGGCACCCTCGTAACTAATGAGGCAATTTGCTTAAGGCAGAGCATGGTTCGAGGCAAGCGTCGGCCAAGCGCCAGGTCTCACTGCTTTCTTGAGATCTTTCTTGTGAAACCATTTGACAGTTACATGGATTGCAAGGGTTTATTATAAAAATGCTAGATTTTTTTTTCAAGCAAATGCTTTCTACATACACATGATTCCTGCCTATTTCGTGGGCTCTACACTTAATCCACGCCACATGGCATTTCATAGTTTAATTTCAGTTTTTGCAAAACTGGGCCCCAACCCACTTTTGCCTGTTTTTAGAAAGTAAATCCGTTTTCAAAGGATGAAGAATTGCTTCAACTGAGGGCAGAGAAAGTGTAAGAACTCATTAGAAAGGGCTTCTCCTAACACCCTTCTCCGCCTCTGCTTCCAGTTAGAAACCAAGTCCTTTCGATTATATCCCTGCATGTGCTCCTTCGTTCTCTCCTCCCGTTGCCTCTGCCACTCACGTCTCCCCTTGTGTCTCTGCCCCTCTGGTCTCCCTCCCTCTGCTTTTACCCGCCCCCCCCCACCTTTCCCACTGATGCTCATCTTTTTAACATGCTGATCTAATCACATTGTTCTGGTTCAAAGTCTGGGTCCTTGGGACGGACATGCAAGGAAAAGGCCACCACCTGCTTATGGCCCTAAATGCATGGTTTTAATCTTCCGCTTATGGGTAGGAGCTGTTATCTCCGTTTTACATGGGCAGAAGTGGGCTCGCTGCCTCTGGTAACCTGTGCACCATCCCGGAGCCGGGAGGAGTCTGCCAGGGCCAGAGTCGGGCAGAGTCTGGAGAGGGGGGTCGTAATTATACAGGGAATCCTACATCATGCCGCGGGGGAGCTTTATCGCGGAAGTGCTGGCAAACCAAGTGGGATTTTAAGCAAGAAAATGGTTTGATCTGATGTATACTTTAGAAAGATCATTTCACTGACTGCAGGCTACAATGGAAGTGGGGGGATTTGAAGATCAATGAAGAAACCTGCAATAACCCAGGCAGACGTTGGGGAGCTATAGGAATGGAATCAGGGATGGAGAAGAGAGACCTTAGGCGATAGCTTAGGGTGTGGAGTGAGCTAGATTGATCCCTGACCACGTGTGTGGGGTAAAGAGCGGGCGGAGGTCTGGAAAAAATCTTTTCTGGCTTGGTGGCTCAGGTGGCTTTACAGAGCCTGTCCCACCTTTCACAACCTTCTCGGTTTACCACACCGGTGCCCTCATAGGCCTGTTCTAGCCTAACCTGGTTCCTTCTGTCTGAAATGCTTTTCTTGTCCTTTGAAAGCACCTACGTATTTAAGACCTGGGTTAAATGTCACACCCTCCGGGAAGCCTTTCCCAATTCTGTCTTCTGGGCTCAGATCACTTCTCTCCCCCCCAACCCCCACCCTTTTAAATCTTTAATAAGAAGTCAAATTAAGGACTAAAATGCAAGTATGCAAATCCAGCAGAAACTGACCTGGTTTGCCTATATCAACAAGGAAAATTTTAATGAAAGGAAGATTATGTAGTTTCCATAAAAGATAAGTTTAAATAGATCACTTCTTTTGAAACATAAATCTGTGGAGCATTTAATCACATTTAGTTACATTTACGTGTCTCTTTCTCGACTTGATTGTGAGTTACTTGAGGTCAGCCTTCTATGTCATCTCTGTGACCCAGTGGAATGGTCATACAATGATAGCGCTTTTCTCTTAGAAGGCCTGCTTTTTCACACTTGGTGAAGACCGCATGGCATTCTATTGATTCTACAGGATTTTCCCTAAACAATGCACAATACCAGTAAACTGGATTTCTATGTCAATGCCATATCTCTGCTAAAAGAAAGGAAATGACTAGAGGTCATAGTTGGGACAGTTATACTAGTCTACAGTTAGCAACTAAACAGTAGGTGCTCAGAAAACAGAATCCACTTCAAAGACAGTACATCTGACAGGATTTAGATTGGGTGCCAGTAAGAAACCCCTAATTGCAGTGACTACATTGGTAGTTACAAAACAAAACTATTTGTAAATGCTTTCCTGAATTGGCCCAAAAGGAGTCAAGGAAGCCCCTGGCACTCCCCGAGGGAAGCAGGAGCTCTTGATCCCAACCATCTTTTCTGTTTCTGGAAAGTAGATCCATTTTCGAAGCATTTGGAGTTGTACCAACTGAGGACAGAAAAGAGAACTTGCCAGGAGCAACTTTTGTTCCCAAAGGTGTCAGGGCCTTTGGAGGTTGCTTAACAAATGCTGAAAAAAAAAAGTCTTTTGTGCCTGGAGTTTCTTTGGAATCCTGGAAACCTTGCGCTGTTGTATTGAAATGAGGCAGTGTTTAGGGTTCAGGGCGTGTTTGGTGTGAAGCCTGTCCATGCGGGATGTCCACCTTGACCCACACGGTCACCAGGGTTCAGACCCGGACGAGACTGCCTGGGTTTGAGTCCTGGATCAGCATTTATCACATAAACTTGAATCTGTGCCTCGGTTTCCTCACCTGTAAGATGGGGATAAGAAACCATCTGCCGCCACGTGTTTTGGTGAGGATTTAACAAGAAAATGTACCCACCTGCTTACCAGAGTGTCTGACCCATGGGTAACCTGTACAGGAGCCCAACGATCAATAATCACTGCCTAACACGCAGGTTGCATTCATTCTATTGACCACTTGGGGGAGCCATGTAGCTGGAAAACACCGAGTTCCGGGGAAAGCCAAGTACATTTTCGTCTCTGCCTGCCTGTTAGGGAGAATCATGTTTGCATTTGGAGAAACAGAGACTCAAAGAGGAGAAATGATTCGCTCATAGTCATGCAAGTAACTGGTAATCTGAAGAGTAGAGTCTTTTTATTTCATCAATGAATCACTTGACAAACCAAGATCAACTTGAGCCACAAGCCTACAAGTTTTCAAGCATGGCTAAGTTT